AAAAAAAAAAAAAAAAAAAAAAAAAAAAAACATCTATTTTATTGTTTTTCAATGGATCCTGTAAATTCTGCTTGCAACGCTGCATTCTAATGATAACACATAAACAACAAATTTTCTGCAAGTTACTAATATTTCTGTACGAATACTTGAAAAGCGATAGGAAAACTTAAATTTTTTTCACCTCAATTATATAAAATTTCATAACAGAATGTGTATTCTAAAAGTATCATCAATACTGTGTCTATAAGTTTAATGTTTTTTTAAATATTATTGCATTTTTATTACTGACAGTGATTTGGAATAAGCTGCAAAAAATCTTCATGTAGTTTTATGAGAACAGCAAGCAACAGTACTACAATGATACATGGAAGATGAATTTTAGTCATAATAATGAACGATAAAACTGAATGCGTGAACGGCATCAATAACAGTCAATAAAATAATAACTTATAGAATCTGATGGTGGTAAGCCAAGCTTCCTTCAGTTTTTGAACAGCAATTTGGTGGTTTTAACAGCACAGCGGTGGGCTCATGAAAGACAAAGATTGCAAAATGGTTCACTATTGCTGATAAGTTGGACTTAAATGAGCTTCACAAGAAAAAATATATTAATTGTATTTTAATAGTCAAATACAAATGGAGAATTTACGCATGACCGCCGTCTAAACATTTTTCCAGGGTATTCTTGGTACCTGGTTTAAATTTACTTAGCCTTTTTAAAAAAACTTTCAATGTGTGCACAATCTCCTCTTCCGCTTTTTTATTCGACTTGTGACCAACAATAGTTCCTTCACATGCTTGCTAGTAGTATTATACATTTGATGGCGAACCTTTACCGGTCCTACTTATCATTTTACCAGCTACGACCAGACAATTCCTTGCATTATAAAAAAAATGATAATAAGGTTTCTTTAAACTTTAACTTTCAGGGTAGAAAAATTGGCTCAAAAGTTCCATGAATATTAAAAACAGGCCGTGTGAACTACAGAGTAGTTGAAAGTAACCAGATGATAGTGATAACACTTAAGGTATGGAATAAAATTAAGGTTTGAGAGTATAACAATAACAACAATAATAGCAGGAAAAAAAACGGACTTATTAAAGAATTTACCGATCAAAGCAGTCAACAGAAACAAAATAGACGAAAGACGGCGAAATTACAAGGTGATGAGAATCAGAAATCATGGATGAAGATTATCAGGCCCTACTCTGCTCTACGAAAATTACAGCTTACAACGCCCTTGAAAACCCTTTGGCCAGCAAAAATAATTTTTCACTATTACTCTGCAGTGCTAAAGTTCCTCAGTTAACTGGAACGGTTTTTTTCCGTTTGCTTATCTTCGGTGAAACTCCTAATACGAAGAGTAGTTGTACAAAGCATTCCATGGGTTATTTCTGTATATTCGTTACCATATTAAACAAAGATGCAAACCTGAAACCAAGTCAACGTTATCAGCCATAGTTTTCAGTACGTCAAATACGGCTATTTTCATATTTTATTTCATTCAATAGCGAAGCCGTAGAGTGATTGACAGGTCTCCTTTAGTAAAACATTTGTAAAAATAAATATTCCATCTGAATTAATGACATTCGGCAGCCCGATGCCTTATTTCTTACTTTCTTTTTTTTTGATAAATAAATTATACAGTCGCTTTTTGTTCTCACATTCTAAAATGCGTAGGTCAGAATTAGACTGATTACAAAAGTTTTATTCCGTTATCATTGTAAATTGACAGAAAAATTTTTTATT